CGCCCCCGCCCCCGCCCCCGCCCCTCCTGACTCCCCTTCTCCCGGCCAGATCTCCTGAGCGATGGTCTTGAGGGGGGCCTGCCGCTCGGGGCCATCCTCCTGTTTGAGGCTGGCGGCGAGTCCGGGGCCCTTCCCCCCTCGGAGCCGGGCCACACGCATGCCGGGCCGGAAGTCCAGTCCGGCCCGGAGGCGGCGGCCGGGCTGCTGGCGCGCGGCCTGCTGGCACGTGGCATCCCCGATCGACATGCGCTGGCCTTCGCCGGGGCCGGGGCACGCGCCACCCTTGCCTCACTGCCCACCACATACGACCCGACTCCCGATGCCGCGGCGGCCGGGGCAGCCAGCGCGGCGGCGGCCGCCGACGACGCCAGCCTCAAGATTGCCTGGCGCTATCGCGGCCAGCGGGGAGACCCCCAGGTGTCGGACGCCCAGGCCCTCCCGGGAGCCGGGGTCCTGGAGGTGAACTTCCAAAGCCGCATTGAGCGGGCCGATCTGCGCGCATGTGCCAATGTCTTTGCCTTTGAGGGTGGCGCCGCTGGTGGGGCAGCGCGATCCTTCCACCTGGCTCCCGATGCCGAGGGTGACGACTCGTCGCTCTTTGTCCCGAGCAGCCCCCCTCCCAAGCCGGCCGGCCCCTCGCCGCCCGGGGGCGACCTGGGCGATCTGCTGGCCTGGTGCGCGACCATCCTGCGGCAATTCGAGTGCGTGATATCACCTCCTCCTGGCCCTTCTCCCGGCCCCCCCCATCGCGGGGACCCCTGCTCGCCTGGCTGCCCGTGCCTCTGACTCTCGCCGGCATCCTCGAATCGCAGATTCCAAACACAAATGAAGGAGCACGGTGCCATCGACCGGTTGCAGGTCCTCCGCATGTGGATCGATCTGGCCCCCTTCTGCGGGGGAGCCTCTCGGGCGGCCGACGTACGGACCTCCCTCCCTTTTGCCCCTCGCGGTCTCTCCCCCTCTGCTTTGCCGGGATCGTCTGCCTGTCCCTATTGCCTCCTCTCCATAAGTTGACTCCCCGCCCCCCGCCCCCCCGCCCCCCGCCCCCCGCCTCCCACCCATGCAGGCCACCGAGGTGGCGGCCTTCCTGTGGCGCTTGCGTGCTCTGGCCCGGCGAGCGCTCGTCCTGCTAACCGTCACCCTGCCCGCATGGCTGGGCGAGGGGGCCCACGCAGCCGGCGACGCGGACTTCGATGATGACGATGCAGCGGAGGCGGCGCTGGTCGCGGCTCGACGCGCTTGCGGTCGTGGCATTCGCCTGGTCACTCTGCCCGCCGGGTCGCCCCTGCACCCGGCCCCGGGGCATGGCTCCCGCGCCTGGCTCCTGACAACCACGCTGAGCACCACGGCCGGGACCCTGGAACGAACCCCCGGCGCCGGGGTCGGCCTTTGGACCATGCGTCTCTCCCGGCGCCGGGCTCTGGTTGAGCGGGCCCGCGAGGCTCCGGCTCTGCCTGGCGGCGCTGGGGCTCCGGAAATCATCGGCCGAACGGCCGGCCCCGGCCCCGGCGCCGGCGCCGGCTGCTCGACCAGCCAATCCGGCCCCGGCAGCGGCCAATCCGATCTGTCCTGGTGACCTGACCTGTCCGGCGAATAGCATGAAGATCCACACACACACGCGCGCGCGCACACACACACACACGCCAGACTTCTCCAGGTTTCCCCCCCGCCCCCCCCCCCTGATGGGTTTGTGCTTTTCTTTGTTCGTAGGAGGGGGCCATCTTGTGGCATGGGGCCGGCCTGCTTCGGCAAGTGGCCAGTCTGCGACCCCGCGTGCCACCGAAAGGGCCATGCCAAATGGGGGGAATGAGCTGTATTGTTGCAAGGAGGGGAGAGGAGAGAGATAGAATGAAGGGGCACACGTTGCTGCTGCGCTGCCGAGGGGTGGAGGCCGCTTTGGCACGCCGGCCGGGGCGGCCCGATATCGCCACCCGACAGGACATGCGGGCGTGGGGGGGGGGGCAGGCAGGTGCGGGGCACCCTCTCGCGGGAGGGTGCATATGCTCACTCGTCGGTGCCGAAGTAGCGACAGCCGAAGTCACCAAGACCGGGCATGATGTGCTTCGAGGTGCTGAGCGAGTCATCCACCTCGGCGGTGATGATGTGCGTGTGAGGGAAGCGCTTGGAGAAGGCCAGGACACCCTCCGGCGCGGCGACCAGGTTGATGAAGATGATCCGGTCCTCCGGGACGCCCTGCTCGATCAGGACCTCCACGGCCTTGATGGCCGAGCCGCCAGTGGCGAGCATCGGGTCCAGCAGGAGGACATGGCGATCGGCGATATCAGGCGGGAGCTTGGCGTAGAAAAGCTGACCCACGGCAAGGGGGGGAGGGGGGGGGGGGAATCGATAAGTACACAGTGCCATGGGAAGAGGCCCATGAGAAGGAGGGCAAACATCGGCAAGTGCAGCGGGATCACAGAACACACCTTCGGCTGGGCGGTCGACTCATCGCGCTGGATGAGGATCTTGCCAACGCGGATGCTGCGGCAGCACTCGCGCAGGGCCTTCTCCATGGCCTCGCCGGCACGCATGATGGACACACCGCACACCCGGCCAGTGAAGGCCAGCCCCTCATAGCTGGAGTCGGTCGGGGTGATGACAGTGTGCTCACGGAAGGGGAGGAAGTTGAGGCCTGGGGAGGGGACGGTGCAGGGGAGGGCCATGGGGGCGGGGGGCGGGGAGGGGGTCAGAAAGCAGGCAGGGGGGGCAGGTTGCAGGGGCCGCAGACGCCCCTGCAGGCGGTCACACATGGGACACGCACCCTCCTCGATCAGCAGGCGAATGACACGGTCGGCGTAGAAGACGAAGTCCGCGCGCGAGGTGCTACGGTCACGGATGATGGTCATCAGGCCGCGCAGCTGCATGGTGCTCTTCATCACATGCAGGGTGGACGGGGCATCGGGGAAGGCCGGCTCCGACGGGGAGGCGGAGCGAGCCGAGGACTCGGGGCCAGACTGGAGGTGCGTGGTCAGGAGGGAGCCTACACAGGGGGGG